CAGCCCTGCAAATGTTTTGAAATTCGCAGAAAGGCTGAGGCATTGTTCCAGATGAATGGGGACATATAGACACAGTGCACAGGAATGATGCATTATTGAAGCAGTTGGCAAAAGTGAAACATGGACTGCAGTTCAGATGAAAGTATGCCATCAATACCAAATACCGAACTTCTTAAATTTGAGTCTTGTAACTATGGCTAGTAAGAAAAAAATTTTTGTTTTTAGGAAGTATAAATTGAAGATTTAAGGAACAGAGGGGCATCTAGCAAGTGGTTCAGAAAAATATGTGTGTGTATAAGGTGTAGAAGAGGGAGGTAAGAGAGAAGGATAAACATAGTGAAATACTCAATATTGGTGATCTGGGTAGAGAGTACAGGGGAAAGCTGGGTGCTGTGGTGCACATCTGTAATCCCAGTGGCTCAGGAGGCTGAGGCAGGAGGATGTTCAAAGCCAGCCTTAGCAATATAATGAGGCCCTAAGCAACTCAGTGAGACCCTGTCTCTAAATAAAATACAAAATATTGCTGGGGATGCAGTTCAATGGTTAAGTGCCGCTCGATACAATCCTCAGTGCCAAAAGAAATAAATAAATAGTACATGGGAGATTTTATGTTATTTTCACAACTTTTCTGTAAGTTTGAAATTTTCTCAGAATAAAATGAAAAGAGATATTAGTGTCCAGTTCTAAATTCAAAATAGTCCTGACCTTCATAGGCATAAAGTCATTTCATAGGTACTAAAAGAGATGCCATGGCTTTCCCTAATAGAAAAGAACAAACTGTCGTTTTTCTGGCATAAATCACTGTTGCTAATTACTTTTGAAATAGAGCAGCGTCTCCTGTCCTCCTCGCCCACGTGGGTAACCCTAGCAGAAACAGTAATCCCTTGTGGTCTCTGACTCCAGTCAGCAACTTACATTCCTCTAGGAACTCTGGTTTCCACTGTGTCAAGGAGGAAGGATGGAAGAAGAGAAAGTGGGGAAATGGGAGAAAGGGATACTAGATTCCTAGAGAAAAGCTGCAAACTAAAACTTAGAAGGCCGCAGATGGAATGGGGCTGGGGTTCATTTCCTCTGTCTCCTCCTAAATGATGGGACAGCATGTCTGCTCCATGGAGAAAGGGAGAGAGAGGCCAGGGATGGGGTGGGGCTCCATGGTATGCCTCGGTGGGAGTTCTGCTTCAGCTCTCTGCTGGGTGGTTCCAAAGGTCTGCTGGAACTCTTCCTGTTGTTAGTGGGAGGAAGGGGCTTCCTGTCCAGTGCTGCAGAGAGCCTAAGGGTCCTGTGAGTGCAGTCAACCAGTAGCTCCCCGGCCCTGTGTTGGTCCAGAAGTGGGGTGCCCTCCAGAGGTTCATGGGTTGGAAGCTTGGTCCTCAGAGTGACAGTGGGTGGTTGTGAACTTGAGTTTCTTTTAAACTCATTTTCAGTTCTTTCTGATCTAGTCGTTGATGTTGCCCTTTAGAACTAAAAATCCTATACGTGCTGGTGCTGGTGGCAATAAATTCTAAGGCACACAGGAAAGATCGGGCCCAGTGGGAGGTCCTTAGGTCCTTAGGGGCACTGCCTTCCCAAGGGAATACTGATCTCTTGGAGTGGGTTCCCCTGGGAGTGAATTGTTATAAAGACCTAATTCCTGGATCTCTCTCTGGTTTCCCATTTTGCAATGTGATCTCTCGCTCCCCCCAACACTCCCACCCTCTATCATGGGAACCTTGCCTGCTGTTTGGACTTTCAGTATCCACAACTGTGAGCTGAGAAAACCTCTTTTCCTCATAAAGTTCATCTACTATGGGTCTTTGTGATAGTGCCATCAACAACAAAACAAACTGACAGAGACCTCAAGGAACTTTTTTCTTTCAAGGTTATTCTTGATGTTCCCCTTGACATTTTTTTTTTTTTTGAGGGGGGAGAGTTGGAAGGATCATATGCTATGATTTGTACTGTGCTCCTAGGTTATCCTCTCACAAGCAGGTTCTTGATTAAAAAAAAAAAGACGAGTTTAACCCCCTTCCCTTCTTTCCTGTGAGCTCTTTCTCATGAAATGCTTTCTGTCATGTCATAACACAACAAGAAGACTGTCACCAGATAGAGCTTCTAGGTCTTGAACTCCCCAGCCTCCAGAACCGTGAGCCCAAACAACTTCTGTTGTTCATACATTACCCAGTTTGTGATATTGTTAGCATGGCACAAAACATATCATGTCCCTCAAACACTTTCTAAGAACCCTACTGATTTTGTGTGATGCGGTTCAGGTGGAGAGAAAGGCTTCAGTAGGAATATTTGGCAAGAGCTAAATTTTAAAAGATGGCATAATTTCACGCAGATCTTCATTGCTAGGAAGCAGGAGTGGTCACCCTGTGAGGGTGTATGGGTGTAACCAGGAAAAGTAAACTTGAGTTTCTTTTAAACTCATTTTCAGTTCTTTCTGATCTAGTCGCTGATGTTGCCCTTTAGAACTAAAAATCCTATACGTGCTGGTGGCAATAAATTCTAAGGCACTCAGGAAAGAAAGCTTAAATTGAGGATTCCCCCCCCCCCTCATTGAAAGGTTTTATTAATAAGATGGTTCCCAGTGATAGGGGACAGACAGATGCAGATGGTGGGAACATGAAGTTAAGGGGATTATTCCCACAGTGCTGACTCCCCACATGCTTTCTTTTCCAAGAAGCAATTTACCTGCCGCTCTGCCTGGCCTAAATGAACAGGATATGTCACATTCCTCAGCAAACTACCTATTATCTGCAAGAGAAATGCAGGCTCCAAATATTGTCAATAAGAGGAACTGAAGGGAAAGAATTTCAAGACCCTTTTCAAAGATCAAATCCAAAACTCAGAGAGATAAGGATAACTCTTCCGAACCAGAATACCTGTAAGAATTTATGGTTCATTATCCAATTAGAACCAGTTTGCATGGGCCAAACTGACATAAGAGTTGCCAAGGCAGTGGGGACTTGATAGTCTGATGGCATCTTGCTGTCAGTTAAAAGTCAAGAGGTGGACCCAGGAGGGCTCTGAAAACTTCTCTGGGATACCTAATACAGTTGGAGGGCAGGAGAGGCATGTTGTCCCTCTCCTCTCTGAGAGGACCCACTCTCTCCCTTGAAAGGGTCCCTTCCCCTTTTCCTCTCCCTTCAATAAACTCATTCCTGTTATTCTGAGCAGCATGTCTGAAATCTTTCTGACTGGATTGCAAGAGTTGGGATTTGAAGGGGGAGGGGTGTCTTCATGCTGCTTCAATTTCCCAAAGGCGCCAGCTCTGTAATACCAGTAGGGTTTATTTTAAAATCTCAACACATTTGTTCTTTGTAGGACCAGTGGCTATGACAGAACCTGAGAATTTTTGGTTAATAAGACTCTACAGCAGCATCCACATGGGTTAATTTTCTTTCCTTCTACTATGGGATATTTAATCACGTGCCAGATCTCTGTCCTTACTCATTGAAAGTCTCATCTGCTGCAATGGTATTCTTAAAAAATGATTTTCTTCAAAAACTGGTTATAAGCAAGTCACTTAGAAGGACTGGAACTACATTTACTGAGCTCATATAATTAAGGATATTCCACACACACTGCTTTCTTCCAACCTTAGAGGAACTCTGTAGGGTACCATTTCAGTTTTTCACTTGTTATTTCAACCATTTTTTAATTCTACCTGAATACCCCTGATCAGCCAGCCACTGCTCTCCATGCTGGGGAAACCAAGGTTCACAAACCCAGCCCCTGATCTCCTGAGGTACCATAAAGTCTAGAGGAGGTCAGAGATTAAGCTAATATTACGCAAACTATTAATTTTGACTGACATACAAAGGACAAGTAATTTGAGGTCTGAGGATAAGTAGGAGTGAGCTATGTGGAGGAGTAGACACGGGAAACAGTTCTGCTCTGTGCCTTGCCTTTGTGCTGCCTCAGGACTCTGCAGTGTCCCCAACATCAAGAAGAGTCTCACTGGATGTGGCCCCTTAAACTGGGAGCTTCCTGAACCAGGAGCTCAAGAAACCATTTTTCTTCATAAATTACCCAGTGCTTGAGTCACAGCTCAGCCATGTAGAAGATACTAGTTTCTTCTATCTTCCGTTTTCTCAGCTGTGAGTGGGGATTATAATCTACATTTTGCCGGGCTATTGTGAGAACCCAAAATAGTACAACCATCCCTCTGCATCCTTGGGTTCCAGATCTGTGGACTCAACCAACCACTGATCAAAAGTATTTGAAAAAAAAAAAAGTGTGTCTGTATGAATACAGGGTAATGACCACTTACTTAGCATTTACCTTGCACTGGGTATTATAAGTAATTCAGAAATGATTTAAAGTATGCAGGAGGATGTGCATGTGTCATATGCAAATATCCCACTATTTCATGGATCCCAAGGGACAGTGGTATATGTAAAGCAGCACACAGTATTCACTCCATCCCTCTTTCTTATACATATAAGCAACTTGCTATTATGTTTTCATTAAAATGTGATGTCAGGATTGGGTATGAATCTCCAGCCCCGATGCCACTCAGGCAAAACACTAGGCCATTATCTTATCCTTGGTGTAATAGTATGCTGGGTGCTAAAGAGCTTTGAACAAATATAGTATTTGAACTCTGATGAGACATACCTCCATACTAGCTCACCCTGAACTTGTGATTGGCATCAAGTATATCATGAAAAAACGGTTAAACCTTTGTTAAAGGTCACTTGGATGTATGCCTGGGGTGGGGTGAGGTGAGGCTGAGCCTCACTGTGGGAAAAGAAATGTATTCCAAGCAATGTCTGTAAAGTTTGCTTTTATACAGCATGTTGGGTAAGTTTTGAACATGTGCTCTGAGCTTGGAATGCATGTTTCTCCTCTGCTTAGTACCTGTGGAAGGCTGATCTGGTGTAGCTGGGTTGACAGTCCCCAGGTTTGTCCACCGAGAGGCAAGTCCAGCCCTTGCCACAGCCCGCTGATAGTTATCATAGAGAGTCTTTCCATACTAGGGAGGGAATACAAAGAAAGAAAGAAAGAAATACATGAATCTCAAGTTCTGCACACAATTGCAATATACACATTGAGGAAAAAAAAAATTCCAGGACTATTCTTTTCTGTCCTTGCCTAAGTTGTTGTTTTTCATATATTTCAATAAAAATTATCTGATTGTTTTTTCACAAATCAAATAAGTTTTCAGATTAACAGAATCAGTTGATATTTCTACCCAGCATTAGAAGAGAGCTTTAGCCAAATAATTTTGATTATGTGTCTTTACGTAATGATACTGTAGACTCAATCTTGTGTTTCTGTTCCATGGTGCTGAGGATCAAACCCATGGCCTCACGCATGCCAGGCAAGTGCTCTACCATGGAGCCACACCCCAGGCCAATCCTGTATTTCTTAATTGTACCCTGAACTTGCAATCTACTCCATGAGTAAATACCTGGAAAGTTTCAATGTAAAGTTAACCCTTGGTTCTCAGGTTGGTGGAGAGGTCCACATTTCCATCACTCCCATTATTTAATAAATGCAGTGGGAAAATAAATGAGATGATCTCTGAGGTTGTACCAAGAGTGGGTCAGCTGTTTCACAGTAGCACAGAAGCTGGACCCAGGCCAGGAAGCTGGCTGAAGAAATTCACAGTAGGGTGAAGCTGGAAGGCGTCTCACCTTGGCGATCCTTATTCCCATGACCCACTGGTTGAGAGTTCTGGCGTCATCACAGCAAAGATACTTGATATACTGAGACTCCTTCTGAATTTGGGGGTGCTAGAAAGAAGCAAAATAGAACAATTTATAAACTTCAATTATTAGGGGTTCAAAGCGCCTCTCAAAATAACTTTTAAAAAACACTGGCACATGTGATTACTAAGGGGTGGCAAAAATTACTGGTAGCCATTTTAGGATTAGGAAATGAGGCACTTTTGAAAAATGACTTTGAAAGAATTTAAGAAATTGGCTACATAAGTTATCAAAAGCACCTCTTACTGTAATTATCAATAACAACATTTGTTTTTGTCTTTTTAACTTCCATTTTTTAAATTTCAGCTTGTACTAATATTGAACCCAGGGTCTCACTTATGCTAGGCAGGCAGTCTACCTCAAATGCCTCTTTTTTTTTTTTTTTGGCTGGGGGCGGGGTATTGGGGATTGAATTCAGGGGCACTCCACCACTGAGCCATATCCCCTGCCCTATTTTGTATTTCATTTAGACACAGGGTCTCACTGAGTTGCTTAGCACCTTGATAAATTGCTGAGGCTGGCTTTGAACTCACGATCCTCCTGTCTCTGCTTTTTAAACTTTTGATCCTTCATATCTCTTCTGTCTCTGTCCCCCAAAGAAATTCAACTTGCTTCTCCATTTGTCAGATAAGGGAACTTAATATATTATTTCTTATGTTACAAAACTAATCCTACAAGAATGGTGGTTTTGTGACTCCCCAAGCCTAGTCCAAGAATTATTTCTCCTACAAGAATTCAGTTTTGCAATGATCTCCCTTTCTTAACTATCCTCTAGTACCCAAGTGGGCCAATGGCTTCTGGATGGATGGCCTCAGTAGAAATGTTTCCATCTATTCTCAAGTGGCACCAAGCAGTGGCTTGTAGGGATGATCAGGGGTTATCTAGGCATCCCAGGAGAACAACTTGGCAGACATGAAGGAGAGAGACAGACACCCTGCATTGCTTGTTCTCAGTCCTTATTGCTCCTGTAACCTCTGTTTTTATGTTTCTGTCTCTGATAGATTGTGTGTTCCATGACAATAGGAGCTATGTGGGATTTATTGCTTAGCACATGGCCTGGTGCATGGTTGGTATTCTAGCCATGGTGTCAAAATAATTGTTGAAAGAAATAAACAAGCACAATATTTCTTGCTGAGTCAAATATTGCAGCCATAAGGTGACAGGCAGGCAACCAAGCCTAGGTTCTGAAATATGTGCCACCTCAATTTTCACAGGTCATTATAACTTTTATTAAACTTTATGGGTTAGAAAAGTAATTAACCTCAACCAGTGTGTGTGTGTGTGTGTGTGTGTGTGTGTGTGTGTGTGTGTGTGTGTACGCGCGCGCATGCAACCTCTTGTTCCTCCATTCCTCAGGATAGTTTGTTAATCCTGCTAGGATAAGCATAAATTGAGGGTGGGAAGCAGCTATGAAATTCAGTGATCAGGAAAGGAGCGGAGCTGCCCAAATCTTCTGGTAGGTGATTGCACAGACCCCTCCTCTTTTGCTTATAGCATATCACTGATCTCCAAGGAAATGGCTAATTTCCAAAGGTGATCTCAGCAAAGGCCATTGTGCCCTGAACTTCAGTTGGAACCTGAGAGGCAGCA